GGTCTCCAGGATCACACCCTGGGCTGAAGGCGGCACTAAACTGCTGAGCCACCCGGGATGCCCTAGTAGCCTTACGTTGGGCATGAATACATCTCCTAGGGAACGTCGTCAGCCCGGGTAGAAGAAAACATGTTCCAGGATGCGGAAATCTAGCTGTGATAGCCAAACCAGTGCTTTCAACTTGCAGCCTTTCAGGAGTGCAACGAGTTTACTCCTATGGTGGGATCCAGCCAGCAGTTAAAATGAAGGAGACTGACATGTAACAACAGGGATATATGTGGGGCACCTGTGTGGCTCAGTGGTTGAGCAGACGCTCAGGCCCTGTTCCCGAGCTTCTGGGAAAGAGTCTCCCATTAGGCTCCCCACAGGGACACTGCTTCTCCCTCTACCTCTCTCTCTCTCTGTCTCATATAAATAAATAAATAAATAAATAAATAAATAAATAAATAAATAAATAAAATCTCGATTTTTTAAAAGAGGATATACATAAAAATGTGGCCAGAGGTTTTGAAACCTGTCACAAACTATTGTCACAAAAAATACCTACGTTCGCCTAGGATATGTGTAAGAAAGAGGACTGGGTTTTCGAAGCCTTTCACAAAATCTTGTCACAAAAAAATGTCTATGTTAGACCAGGATACATGTATAAAAGAGGATATGGTTTCTGAAAGCCTGTCACACACAAAAATTGTCACAAAAAATAACTAGGTTCAACCAGGAAACGTGTAAAACAGAGGACAAGGTTTTGAAGTCTTTCACAAAATAGTATTAAAGGGATCCCTGAGTGGCGCAGCGGTTTGGCGCCTGCCTTTGGCCCAGGGCGTGATCCTGGAGACCCGGGATGGAATCCCACGTTGGGCTCCCGGTGCATGGAGCTGCATCTCCCTCTGCCTGTGTCTCTGCCTCTCTCTCTCTCTCTCTCTCTCTTTCCCTCTCTCTGTGTGTGACTATCATAAATAAATAAAAATTAAAAACAAAACAAACAAAATAGTGTTAAAAAAATACCTATGTTCAGCCAAAATATGTGGAAAAAAGAGGACAGGGTTTTTTTGAAACTTTTCACAAAATATTGTCACAAAAGTTACCTATATTTGGCCAGGATATGTGTAGAAAAGAAGACAGGTTTTTTTTTTAAGCTTTTCACTTGGAACAAAGTGTAATTGTTCCACTTTGGAACAAAAAATATTGGAACAGGGATCCCTGAGTGGCACAGTGGTTTGGCGCCTGCCTTTGGCCCAGGGCGCGATCCTGGAGACCAGGGATCGAGTCCCACGTCGGGCTCCCGGTGTATGGAGCCCGCTTCTCCCTCTGCCTATGTCTCTGCCTCTCTCTCTCTCTCTGACTATCATAAATAAATAAAAATTTTAAAAAAATATTTGAACAAAAAGTACCTATGTATCACTATCATATATGTAAAAATGACAAGGTTATCTGAAGCTTCTCACAAAATATTGTCACTATAAATCCTGTATTTGGCCAGCTTGTGTGTGTAATAAAGAACAGGGTTTTTTGAACTTTTTCACAAAATATTGAAACTGAAAATACTTACATTTTGCCAAAATATGTATAAACAAGAGGACAAGGGGTTTTTCTCAACCCTCTCACAAGAAGCAATGTTAGGAGGCATAAGGGGAAAAAAAGACAATGGCTTTTGTTAAGATAAAAAACATCCAATTGAGATGTTTGAGATAAAAAACATCTGATTGACAAAAAAAATCCGATTGAGATGTTTGAGATAAAAAAACATCCGATTGAGATGTCTGAGATAAAAAACATCCAATTGAGATGTTTGAGATAAAGAACATCCAATTGAGATGTTTGAGATAAAAAACATCCAATTGAGATGTTTGAGATAAAAAACATCTGAGATGTTTGAGATAAAAAACATCTGATTGAAAAAAAATCCGATTGAGATGCTTGAGATAAAACATCCAATTTCAAAAAAAAAAATCCTATTTCAAACTTTATGGGGTTATTTTTATTGGTGGAATGATTTTCTTTTCATTTGTGGAGCCTATAAAAAGGCCACGGGGTCATTGATGACTCAAATCATTGGTAAATTATTAGTAGTCATATGAATTTACCAACAAACTGATTTCTACTACTTTGGGACCTATTTCAACCTATCTTCAGAGGGCTCACAAGCTTTATAAACGTAAAGGATAATTCTAAACTGGCACAACTCCTCCAGAAAAGAGAGACCGAGAACACGTCCCCAGCTCCTACTGTATAGCAGTGACTATTAAAGGCTGGCTCTCTAGGCTTCACATCTTCCTTGGCACCGAAGCTGACAAGGGGACACTGCCTATGTTCTGTAACAGGTCAGTTATGCTCAATATCAAACTGTGGTTCACAGAATTAATGGTGGAAGTTGTAGCTACCTTTGTCCTGGGTAAGATAAGAAGTTGTGTACCTGCATCGTCCGTGACATGGCCGGACAACCAATGGAAGTTCCTGGGTTGTTTCAGAAAGATGTGCCAGTTTATGGTGAAGAAGACCCTTATTTATGTCCTGAGTTCTCTTGCGTCCATTATACACAATCTAATTGTTGGAGAAGTCTTCATCAATAAGCTATATTACTTTCTACACAAAAAGATGGTTTCTGAACCCACAGCTGTGGTTGTCGCTTAGCTACTCATACACCTACTCACCCTGCATTCGTTGGGGGGATATTTGGCACCCGGAGGAGAGCAAAGGACTTTCCTCGCTTATCTACTACCACTGGAGGCTTGTGTGCACGCTCGGCTCTCTCCCCGAGCCTGGCCCATTCTATCCTCTCACAAAGAACACTGGCTCACAACTGTGAGTGCAAACATTGATATTGAATCACTAATGTTCAGCAGCCTGACATGGAGGCCGGAGACCAATGTAGAAGTTGATCTTATCCGCTACCACGTCTGGATGTCGCATGAACTTGCAGCCTGTACCAACTGAAACACAGCCCCGTTCTGCCACAGTTGTCAAGAAGGAAGCTATTTTCGCTGAACTGCACCCAGCAACTACCATCTCTATGTGGCAAAGCCAGTTATTTATGCTGCATCGATCCTAATTCTTTCAGAAGAACTTCTACAACCTATGGTGTTACCTTCATCAATTGAGCCCCTCACCCCCTCAGCCCCCAGAGCACATTTGGTTCTTCTTGAATCTGTGTCTCCTTGATTTCTTTCTTTTTTTTTCAAGATTTTATTTATTCATCAGAGACAGAGAGAGAGAGAGAGATAGAGTCAAAGACACGGGCAGAGGGAGAAGCAGGCCCCATGCAGGGAGCCCGACGTGGGACTCGATCCCGGGTCTCCAGGATCACGCCCTGGGCCGAAGGCGGGCGCTAGCTAAACAGCTGAGCTACCCGGGCTGCCCCCTTGATTTCAGTACAGTTTTTTTTTTTTATTTGTTTGTTTGTGTGTTTGTTTTCGCAGACTCGATTCTTTCCTGTTTCATATACTGAGCAAATAAAGTTCCTTTCAGGCAATGGCATGTCTGCATCCTTACTGCTCCATTCTAGACTGATTTCCTTCTAACCCTGTGTGGCTTAGGGTCTGTTGCAAGGCACTGAGGAAGAGGAGGGAAAACCAGGGTGATTAGATAGAGAACTCCATGGCTTGGCAGGGGTTGGGGAGGGATGGGTACGCAACCTGGGTGATATTTGCTGAATGGAGAATGGGGGTGGAGGGTGTTTCCAAGGCTGATGGTCTGGGACACGGCAGCCCAGGAGGCTCTGGGGATGTGTCCTCTTTCCCGGAGAAGTTCAAAGTCAGACCTGAGAACTCTGAACTAGTTGAAAGCATCTTTACCACTTGTAAGGCATATATCCCAAATTTGACCAGGGTAGAGCCAGCCTCTTGAGGACTGAGCTGGGGGAAGGGACAGCTCCCTGCAAACTCATCTTCAAGGGACCCATGTTGGGATGGGTGATGGTGAAATTCAGAGGGCTCACGAGAACGCGCCCCTTGGGTCAGGAGAAACCCTGTGGAGGGGAAAGGATGTGAGTGGAATGACCCTCCCCAGAGCACCTCGGAGGTCCTGAGGCTGCCCTGGAAGTTTGAGCCTGCCTCATTTGGATCTGTGCCCAGCATTGAGTTGGCTTCTACCTCTCCCTCTGCTCATTCCCCCTCTCGTGCCCTCTTTCTAACAAATAAATAAATAAAATATTTTTAAAGATTATTTATGTATTATGAGAGACATGCTCAGAGGCAGAGGCGTAGGTAGAGGGAGAAGCAGGCACCCCGTGGGAAGCCCGATTTGGGACTCCATCTCAGGATGCCAGGATCATGACATGAAGCCAAGGTAGACACTCAACCACTGAGCCACCCGCGCACCCATTAATAAATAAAATTTTTAATAAATATTTTAATAAAAAATCAGTAAAGAGGGGGGAACTTGACAGGATGAGCACTGGGTGTTATACTATTGTTGGCAAATGGAACTCCAATAAAAAGGTATACAAAAAAATCAGTAAAATCAACAATGGGCAAAAATGTCAAAGAGACATTTCTCCAAAGGTATACAGTGGCCACCAAGCTTCTGAGGAAATGCTCAACATCGCTAATCATTACAGAAAGCAAATCGAACACAAATATATATCAAGTCACACCCATCAGGATAGTCACCATCAACAACAATAAGCAAGGGATCCCTGGGTGGCGCAGCGGTTTGGCGCCTGCCTTTGGCCCAGGGCGCGATCCTGGAGACCAGGGATCGAATCCCATGTCGGGCTCCCGGTGCATGGAGCCTGCTTCTCCCTCTGCCTGTGTCTCTGCTTCTCTCTCTCTCTCTCTCTCTCTCTCTCTCTCTCTCTGTGTGTGACATCATAAATAAAAATTAAAAAAAAAACAACAATAAGCAAAAGGACCCCAAACCCAAATACCATAAATTAATGTGTGTTGGTGAGGATCTGGAGAAATCGGAACCCTGGCAAGTGTTGGTGAAAAAGTAAAATGGCACATCAGACATCAGCTTGGAACACGGTGCCGGGTTTCCTCCAAATTAAGAAATAGACTTACCATGTGATGGAGCCATCTTCTTACTCATTTTACATCTGTAAGAACTGAAAGCCAACAGTATGAAGGGATCCCAGCTCATCCCTGTTCATCGCAGTGTTGTTCACAAGAGTCAAGATGTAGAAGCAGCCCCCGTGTCCATGCACAGAGGAATGGAGAAAGATCATGGGACATCCAGCTCCAGTGGAACGAACATCGATCCTAAGGAAGAAGTGAGTTCTGGACCCGCTGCCACATGAAATGAGCAGGTCGCAGCAAGACAAATACCCTATGATTCCACTTGTATGTCCTACCCGTCATAGTCAAATTTATAGAAACAGAAAGAAGACATGTGGGGCCAGTGGGGGCAGGGAGGAGCAAACAGGAAACTGTGGGTACAGACTTCCTGTTACAAAATGAACGGGTGCTAGAGACGCATTGTACGCCCCTGAGAATATTGATACCCCTGCTCATCCGTATCCTGGTTCCTAGTGAATGGTAGGGAGTGTAATGTTATGAGTTTTTCCCCATAATTTTTCACAGATTTAAGGAAGAAATTGGGGTGAAGATCCCTGGGGCCCTTGAAACCTTACTGCCTTCCAAGAGGAAGCTCTGGGTGTGACCAATACAAAGTGTTGGTGGGTGAGGTTCATTTTGTGTTCCCAGCCAGCCCGTTTCAGCCTCCCATGCAGCTCATGGGGCTCTGAGTCCCTCCATAGTCCATAACGGGGAAGAGGCTCGAGGCTCCAGGGATTCTCAGGAGTTGAGGGGCCAAGGTGGGAAGAGAAGGGCTGAGCAGGGATGGAAAGATGGGTAGAGGAGCAGCTGTGTGGGAGGGGGGCAGATTGAGGGATTCAAGACAGCCAAAGAGTCTAAGATGTGACATTAAAAAAAAAAGAAGGAAAGAAAGGCAGAAAGGAGGAAAGGAAAAAAGAAGAAGAAAAGGGAGCGACCGGGTTGCTGAATACCTAGAGCATGAAACACTTTCCTCAGGATGGTGGGCTCAGGCCCCAAGTAGAACTTATTAAAAAAAAAAAAAAAAAAAAAAAAAAACAGGGATCCCTGGGTGGCTCGGCAGTTTGGCGCCTGCCTTTGGCCCAGGGCATGATGCTGAGGTCCCGGGATGGAGTCCCGCATCGGGCTCCTGGCATGGAGCGTGCTTCTCCCTCTGCCTCTGCCTCTGCCTCTCTCTCTCTCTCTCTCTCAAATAAATAAATAAATAAATAAATAAATAAATAAATAAATAAATATTTTTTAAAGAGTTCTTAGGCTCAGTTGTTTAAGCATCTAAGTCATGAACTCAGCTCAGGTCTTGGTCTCAGGGTTGTGTGTTCGAGCCCCCTGTGGGGTGCTATGCTTACATGGAGCCTAATTTAAAATACTCTTTTAATACAAAAATAAAATAAATACGAATACTCATTAAAACTCAGCGGTTTAGCACCTGCCTTCAGCCCAGGGCATGATCCTGGAGTCCCAAGATCGAGTTCCACGTCTGGCTCCCTGCATGGAGTCTGCTTCTCCGTCTGCCTATGTCTCTGCCTCTGTGTGTGTGTGTGTGTGTATCATGAATAAATAAATAAAATCTTTAAAATAATAATAATAATAAATAAAATGAGGGGAGGGCTGGATGGCTCAGCAGTTGGGCATCTGCCTTTGGCTCACGGCATGATCCCAGTGTCCCAGGATCAAGTTCCACATTGGGCTTCCTGCATGGAGCCTGCTTCTCTCTGCCTATGTCTCTGCTCTCTCTCTCACTCTGTGTCTCTCATGAATAAATAAATAAAATGTATAAATAAATAAAATTAAAAATAAAAAAAAAAGAATGAGGACAGGAGATGATGAGGGCGACAACTTAGATGAGCAGGTTGGAAAATTCCTGAGTCTGGTGTTCTGTGTGGCCTTTGAAGCTCCCTTGTGTTTAAGAAAACCTTTGCCGGGGATCCCTGGGTGGCACAGCAGTTTAGCACCTGCCTTTGGCCCAGGGCGCGATCCTGGAGACCTGGGATCGAATCCCACGTCAGGCTCCCTGCATGGAGCCTGCTTCTCCCTCTGCCTGTGTCTCTGCCTCTCTCTCTCTCACTGTGTGCCTATCATAAATAAATAAAATTTTAAAAAAATTAAAAAAAAGAAAACCTTTGCCTTTTCTGAAGATATTACATGCCCTTCCTCCACTGTATGTTCTTGGCTCCTTTCCTATAAAATTTTATTTATTTATTTATTTATTTATTTGTTTGTTTGTTTATTTGTTTTAAAAGATTATTTATTTATTTATTCATGACAGACGGGGAGAGAGAGAGAGAGAGGCAAAGGGAGAAGCAGGCTCCAAGCAGGGAGCCCGACGTGGGACTCGATCCCGGGTCTCCAGGATCAGACCCCGGGCTGAAGGTGGCGCCAAACCGCTGGGCCATCGGGGCTGCCCTGTAAATTTCTTTTTAAGATTTTATTTATTTATTCATGAGAGAAACAGAGAGAAGCAGAGACACAGGCAGAGGGAGAAGCAGGCTCCCTGTGGGGAGCCCGATGCAAGACTCAATCCCAGGACTCTGGGATCGTGATCTGAGCCAAAGGCAGACGCTCAACCACCCGGGCGCCCCTTATGTACTATTTCAAATATAAAGCCAAATTTTCCCGGTGAGGACATGTTTCTCCCACCATCAGTTGCTTTGGTGTGAAAGTACTCAGATTCAGAAATGGTATATGAATTCAATGGGCTCAAATTAGGTCAATTGTAAAGACTTTTCACTCTCAAGAGCATGCACTGCCCTCCTGTTACAACCACCCGACAAAGTGTCAACAATTTTGGAGCAGTGGATCCAGGAGAGTGAGAGCTCCATCAGGAGCACCATGTACATTCAGTCAAATTGGATTAAAGGCTTGAATATAAGATCTGAAACCATGAAACTACCAGAAGAAAACACAAGCAGTAAGTTCCTTGGCATCAGACTTGGCAATGATTTTTTTGGATGGCAATGAAAGTCAAAATCACTAAGTGGAACCCCATCAAGCTGAAGAGCTTCTGCACAGCAAAGGAAACCATGAGGAAATGAAAAGGCAACCCACCAAGTGGGAGAGACATTTTAAATCATATGTCTGGTAAGGGATTAATATCCAAAATTTGGAATACCCAAAAATATAGAAAGAGGGGTGCCCAGAGTTGGGGGTGCCAGGGTGGCTCAGTTGGTTGAGCATCTGACTCTTGATTTCAGCTCAGGGTCATGATCTCAGCTTCCTGGGACTGAGCTCAGAGTTGAGCTCCGGACTGATTGTGGAGACAGTCTGCTTAGGATTCTCTCTCTCGGGATCCCTGGTGGCGCAGCGGTTTGGCGCCTGCCTTTGGCTCAGGGCGCGATCCTGGAGACCCGGGATCGAGTCCCATATCGGGCTCCCGGTGCATGGAGCCTGCTTATCCCTCTGCCTATGTCTCTGCCTCTGTCTCTCTCTCTCTATGACTATCATAAATAAATAAATTAAAAAAATTAAAAAAAAAAAAGGATTCTCTCTCTCTCTTCCTCTGCCCCTCCCCCTCACTCATGTGCACTCTCTTGCTCTCTCTCAAATAAATAAATAATCTAAAAAAAAAAACCCAGAGAAAGCAATATGGTGAGTTCTCCAAATATTAAAAATAGAACTATCATCTGATCTAAGAGTTCCACTTCTGGGTATATGACCAAAAGAAATGAAATCACCTCCTGAAAAACATACCTGCACCCCCAGGTTTACTGCGGCATCATTCGCAAAGGCCAGGAGACAGAAACATCCTAAAAGTCTGTTGAGGAATAAATGGGTAAAGAAAAGGTGGGATCTCATACAATGGTATATTATTCAGCCACAAAAAGGAAGAAACTCTTGCCTTTTGTGACAACATGGATGGACAACATGGATGAGGATATTGTGCTAAGAGCAGCCAGCGAGTCAAAGAGAGACAGATACTCTATGATCTTGCTTACAGGTGGAATCTGACAGAGAACTGTCGGGGGTTGCCTTGCCTGAGGGGCAGGGGGCAGTAGGGATGAGTAAAGGTGATCAAAAGATCAAATCTTCCAGATACATAAGTCCTAGAGGCATAATGCACAGCGTGGTGACTACTGTTAAGGATACTGCATTGCAGGGGCACCTGGGTGGCTCAGTGGTTGAGCGTCTGCCTTTGGCCCAGGGCATGATCCTGGAGTCCTGGGATCAAGTCCCACATCAGGCTCCCTGCATGGAGCCTGCTTCTCCCTCTGCCTGTGTCTCTGCCTCTCTGTCTGTGTCTCTCATGAATAAATAAATAAAATCTTTTTTTTTAAATGTGTATCTGTAAAGTACATCAGGGCTGGAGCACATTCCCTCTGTGAGCTGGGGAGACCGTGAAGGGGAAAGGGGTGGAGACAGAGACCTAAGAGGAGACAAACAAAAGAAAAAATGCCAAACTGCTGGTGGCGCTCAGGGCCCACGCTCCAGGCAACCCTGTGGTGGTGCTGCCCCCTGGTGGCTGCCCAGTGCGTTGCATGGATGGTGGCATCCTAGAGGAGACTGAGTCCATGTGGGTCACTCCTGGGGCAACCAGCTGCATAAATGGCAGGACCCAACGTAAAGTGAAAATGCAGGGCTCCTCGCTTAAAAATCGTTAATAATTTTAAGATGGCAAAAGCAGAGTGTTACACCTGGCCACAGGCCCTCCTGAGTGACTACGTGATGGCAGATTGCCAGCCCAGGAAGCCAGCCCTGCTTCACAGGGCATACGGATGTGTTCAGTCCCCCATGTGAATGCCACATCAGCTGAAGCCACAAACAAACTACGGAAATGGTGAGCCCTGGGAACCTGGGTGGCTCAGTGGTTGAGCGTCTGCCTTTGGCTCAGGGTGTGATCTCGGGGTCCTGGGGTCGAGTCCCACGTCAGGCTCCCTGCATGGAGCCTGCTTCTCCCTTTGCCTGTGTCTCTGCCTCTCTCTGTGTGTCTCTCATGAATAAATAAAATAAAATAAAATAAAATAAAATAAAATAAAATAAAATAAAATAAAATAAAATAAAATAAAATAAAATAAAATAGAAAGAAATGGTGAGCCCTGACTGTCTTTTAATCCCCAACGGGACAGTTTTGAGTTTCCTTTCTTTAGAAAAAAATTCACCTGGAATTTGCTCTGGCCAGATCAATGACCAAATTGGAGATGATCCTAACATCAAAAAAAAAAAAAAATCAATGCAACACGTTGACTATATAAAAATCTACAATTACCCTCAAAAAAGAGGCAGCAAAAATCATCCCCTAGCCTATCCTATCCCCACTGGAGGTGACATTGAGCAGCTCCTCACCGGGAAAGCCTGGGTCCTGTCCTTCCAGCAGATGCCAGGGTCCAGATGTAAGGGAGAGCCCTTTGCACAAAAAGTGCTTGTGTCTGAAGGCAGGAGGGATGACAGTGACTGTCCTTGTGCACGGTGGGCTTGGGCCAAGAACAAGAGTAGGATGGGGGGAGGGGAGGGGGCTGGGGATGTGACATCCACAGGCATTTCGGTGTCCCCTCAGGGCTCCACAGGATCTGAGGGACCAGGGAGATAATGATGAGGAGACAGATCTCCCCATTCCTATTGGGGGGATGGTTTTCTCGCCTTCGAGGGGGACAGGGCATTAGTCTCTTGCGGCTGCCATGACCAATGACCACATGCTTGGTCATTTGTGGCTTGAAACAAGAAAAAGCTTATCCTACAACAGTTCTGGAGGCCAGAAATCCAAAACCAAAGGATCAGCGGGACCACATTCACTCCAGAGACTCTGGGAGAGATTCTGTTCCTTCCCTCTTCCAGCTTCTGGGGGCCATCGGCATTCTTGGGCCAACCTTGGCCTCTGTCTTCATGTGGTCTTCTCCCCTGTGTGTCTTCTCCTCTTCCACTTCCCACTGGATTTAGGACTCGCACAGATAACCCAGGATGATGCACTCCCAGGGGGCCCCTCCCACCCTCCCATCTCCCTCTCAGGCCCCCCCCCCCATCTTTTCCTTCCTAAAAGCAACCCAGCCCCAGTAGCACTGGAGCCACAGCCTCAGCCCTCGTGACTCCCACTCTGGACAGAGCTGCCCAGAGACCCCAGACCACCCCCAGCTTCCTCCCAGAGCGTCTCAGGAGAGAGAGGGGCTCTGCTCATTTGCACCCTCTTGGGGTGTCTTTCTCCTTCCCTGGGAGCTGGGGTCTGACTGCCAACACTCTCCCTACCCCCACAGCAGATTTCCCAGCCGCTGTAGACCTGGCTAAGGTTGGAAAGGGAGGACCGGTTTGGGGATGGATCCTGGGCCCCTTAAGTCCCCTGCACGTCTGCCCACCCCCAGTCTTGAAGGACCCCACTGGACAAAGAGCAGCAGGTTGTTTTTAAGGAGGAAGTAGGCAGGGGCAGGGGTTCAGCACCTCTTCCGCCAGCATCTCCTTTCTCTGGGAACATCCTCGTTCCCAACTAGAAAGTGTTCTGATGAAGAATTGCAAAAATGTAAGCACTTGTTTGTCTTCACCGGGAAATAATGATTTTGTGAATGTCCACACGCCTCCCCTGAAGAGATGTCTCTCCTCCGGCAGGAGCCCTCCACCTGCTGACTCAGGGCCTCTTTCCTGCAAATTTAAGGGCCGGAATAGTTACGTGTGGGCTTCTCCTCCACCGCCATCCACAGGTATCTGCCTGCCTCCTGCAGGGGAAGCTCTGACACATTTGCAACAAAGCTGGGAACTTCGAGAAACCCTCCCTGTGCATCTGCTCACTCACACCCACATCTCGTTTGCAAACGTCTAAATAGTGCTATGCGGTAGAGATACAACAGGAGATTCGTACATAATTTTACATTTTCTAGCAGTCGTATTTCAAAATGTAATAAGCAGGGGCACCCGGGCGGCTCAGTGGTTGAGCTTCTGCCTTTGGCTCAAGCTGCAACCCCGGGGGATCCTGGGATCGAGTCCCACATCGGGCTCCCTACATGGAGCCTGCTTCTCCCTCTGCCTGTGTCTCTGCCTCTCTGTGTCTCTCATGAATTAATAAATAAAAATCTTTTTAAAAAAATCAAACAGGGAAGGGTGTCTGGATGGCTCAGTGGGTTAAGCATCTGATTCTTGATTTCAGCTCAGCTCATGATCTCAGGGTCCTGGGGTCGGCCCCGTGTGGGGCTCCCTGCTCTGTGGGGAGTCTGCTTTCCCTCTCCTTCTCCCCCTCCCCCTGCTCACACTCTCTCTCTCTTAAATACTTTTTTCTCTTTAAAAAATATTATTGGGATCCCTGGGTGGCGCAGCGGTTTAGCGCCAGCCTTTGGCCCGGGGCGCGATCCTGGAGGCCCGGGATCGAATCCCACATCGGGCTCCCGGTGCATGGAGCCTGCTTCTCCCTCTGCCTCTCTCTCTCTCTCTCTCTCTCTCTGACTATCATAAATAAATAAAAATTTTAAAAAAAATATTATTAAAAGTCAATTAATTATCATATAATGTATTATAGGTATCAGAGGCAGAGGTCAGGGACTCATCACGCTTACATAACACCCAGTGCTCATTACATCACGTGCCCTCCTTAATGCCCATCACCCAGTTACCCCATGCCCCCACCCACATCCCCTCCAGTGACCCACAGTTAGTTATGATTAAGTCTCTTATGGTTTGTCTCCCACTCTGGTTTCATCTTATTTTATAAAAAAAATAAATCTTAAAAATAAAATCAACATGGGGACGCCTGGGTGGCTCAGTGGTTGACAGGCTCCCTGTGGGGAGCCTGCTTCTCTCTCTTCCTATGTCTCTGCCTCTCTCTGTGTCTCTCATGAATAAATAAATAACTTAATTAATAAAATAAAATAAAATCAATGTGGAATTCCCATATGATCCAACAATTCCAGTTCTGGACACATACCCCATAGAATTGAAAGCAGGGACTTGAACAGATATTCATATATCCTCTTTCATAGGAAAGTTATTCACTGTCGCTAAAAGGTGGAAACAACCCAAGAGCCCATGGACAGAAAAATGGATTAACAAAAATGTGGTGTGTTTCTATTGAGGAATATTATTCAGCCACAAAAGGGAAGGAGATGTTGCCTCTCTGCAACACAAATGAAGCTTGAGGACATCAAGCTAAGTGAAATAAGCCAGACTCAAAAAAACAAATACTGTGTGATCCCACTGCTATGAGGTTCCTAGAGTGGACAAGAAAGTAGGATGTTGGTTGCCAAGGGCTGGGGAGTTGTTTAATGGGTCCAGTCTCAGGGTTATAAGACAAAGAGTTCTGCAGATGGACAGTGGTGATGGTTGTACAACAACGTGGATGGATTTACTATCACTGAGCTGTACACTTAAAAAGGCTAAAATGGTAAATTTTATTATATACATGTTGCCACATTAAAAAAAATTGTTCAATACCTGGGTGAAATTCGTTTTAGTAATATTTTTATTTATCTCATTATGCGGAAAATATCATTTCAACAAATTCTTTGGATTATTGAAATGTTTTATATTCTTTTCATCATACTAAGCCCTTGCACGCCTCAGTTCAGACTAGCCTCATTTCAAGGGCCCAGTGGCCACCGTATTGGATCACCGTATTGGATCACTGGCAAGTATCTCCCATCCTATTTGCAAAGACCCACATGTCCCCAGCAACACGCCGGCAGTTTACCTGCAAATACACCTGTGGGGGGTTTCTCGGCAAACCTCCCACATCAGCTGCAAACACCCACAGCTCACAGGCCAGCTCCTTGGTCTAGATGCAGAAATCTCCAGAGAAGGCATTTGCTCAAGAACGGGCATGTTGATTTCCAATCCAGGTAGGGAGGTTGATTTGACCTGCAAATACCCCCTCCTTTGCATATATTTGCATCTCATTCTTGCGGCTCTCAGAAGCACCGGGCAGGGCCTCAGATCGTCATCTCGAAGTCTGGGAGCTGGTAGCTCAGAGCTGAGCAGGAGGCCCCCAGGTGTCCCTCCTTCCGCTTCCCTTCAGCCTCCTCCTCCTCCTCCTCCTCCTCCTCCTCCTCCTCGATGAGGCTCTCCTCGTCCTCTTCCAGGAAGGTGACCAGTTCCTCCCGCAGCGCCCCCATCTCCAGCCCCAGACTGCAAAGCTGACCCAGCAGCTGGATGTCCACCTGGCGAAGGTGTCCCTGCCAATGGGAAGGGGGAGTCATGGGCATCCAACCCCAGAGGGCGGGTGGGGGGTGGGTGCGGGGTCAGCGTGCCCCCCCCCAACCCCCAAACCTGCTCAGAGTCCTGGCAAAGATTCTTTGCTTGACCGAACTTTAGCCCAACTCCTAAACCTTCTCCTGGGCCCATCTGTGCACTTCCTTGTAAAATCCGGTTTTAATCTCCCATCGTCCACATCTGATCACTCCCAGTACCTGATCTGGTTCCTCATCTCCCATCCCCCACCCAGGTCGCATCTCCAATCTCCCTGACCTGCCTCCAGCAAGTTATGCCAGAGGATGCCCGCTTCCCCCTGAGGCTTTGGCTTCAGATTTCCCACCTGACCCCCACCTTCTCCTTCCCTAGAAATCCCCACTTGCCCCTGCTGTGCTCAGAGCCAAATCCTTCTCTCTGTGCCCCACCCCCACCCCCTCCACCGTCTTTAATGGGGGCCACAGGCCAGCCTCTCTTTAACAATCAGGGCCTGTTGGGGCACCTGGGTGACTCAGGGGTTAAGCATCTGCCTGTGACTCAGGTCATGACCCCGGGGTCCTGGGATGAGTCCCACATTGGGCTCCCTTCAGGGACCTGCTTCTCCCTCTGCCTGTGTCTCTGCCTCTCTCTGTGTCTCTCATGAATAAATAGATAAAATTTAAATAAATTAGATAGATGATAGATAGATAGATAGATAGATAGATAGATAGATAGATAGATAGATAGATAGACGGATAGATAATACCAGGGCTTGCAGCACATGGCGAGGTCCTCACTGTGCTCTGGACCCTGCCTGCCGGCCAGCCGGCTTCTCCCAGGTTCTCTGGGCCTCAGCCTCTGTCTCTCCATTTCATCCTGTGTCTCTGTGCCTCCCCCATTGTCTCTCTCTCTCTCTGCTCTCTCCCCACTGTTGTTTGTCTCTGTCTCTGTCTCAGATTCAATGAGTCTCAATGTCTGCCTTCTATGTCTCTCCCTTTCTGGGTCTCACTGTCCCTGTCTCTCTCTACTCTTGTCTCTCTCTCTTTGGATCTCTGTCTCTGTTTCTCTCTGCTTGTTTCTCCATTCTTGTCTCTCAATCTCTGTCCTTCCATCTCTGGCCCCCTACAACTTCATTGTTGCCCTTCAATCACCAAGTATCGCTCCCTGCCCCCATCTGTGCCCCATCTCTTGCATCTCCAAACCCCTCACTTCACTCACCAGCTCCTCCCAGAGCCACAGCAGACCCTCCCTGGCGCCTGCAGTGTCTGCCCCTGGAGATGTGAGGGTCTGGCCAGCTCTCCCCACTGCGGGGGGCTCCCTCAGGGCCTGGGGAGGCAGGCCCAGCCCAGGGGGCACCAGTCCTGCCTGATTCAGTTGCCTCCACAGCTCCATAGTCTCTGTGCAGTGGCAGCCAGGATCACCAAGTGGCAAGGTCCAGACTGACCCGGTCTCCTGAGGAGCCAGCAAGGCAACGGGGGAGCAAAGGGCATGAAGGGGTGCCTGGGTCAGCATTTCAAAGTCCAAGTTCTGGTGTGCACTCATGGCCTCGTGAGGATTTTCTTCCTTCTAAAGTCTAACCTCAACTCTGCCCATAAGTGTCCAGCCACAGCAACTCCCACCCCTCCTGACCCCAACTCAAACCTAACCCATCGTGAGTGCTGGGTGTCTGTGGAAGCCTGGCCTCCTTTATCCCCCTCTTCTGGGCCCCTCCCACCGCTCCTCCTCACTCTTTGGCTTGCCCCAGTTTGGACCTTGTCTTCTCCACTTGGGCCACCCTAGAACATCCTGATTAGTGGGCCCGAGGAACCCCAATCCCTCAGCTGTGGCACCTCGGTGTCCAGGCTGATGAAGTTTTGGAATATAAGTGAGGTTTGGTGGGGTGAGGTCCAGAGCCAATGACCAAGAAAGAATTCTTGAGATGTCTTTGGTGCAAAATGGTAGTTTTATTAAAGCACGGGGACAGGACCCGTGGGCAGGAAGAGCTGCTGCCCCCGGCCTGGGAGGGGTGACTGATTATATATCCGGGAGTCTGGAGGGGTTTGAGGATAGCACACTCTCTAAGGAATTTCGGTTAGCAAGGTTTCCAGGACCTTGAGGGGGTAGCTATTGTTGGGAAAAGGGCACTTATTACCGTCTAATAAAGCCTGAGTCATGAGACCCTTCAGATGTACGTCGGTGGGCCATGTGCTTGGGGGGATGATTGCCAACATGTATCTTGGGACGTAGAGATAAAGGAAATTTCTATAGGAATTTGTTTTTTTTTTTTAAGACTTTTTTTTTTAATTTTTATTTATGTTTTATTTTATGATAGTCACAGAGAGAGAGAGAGAGGCAGAGACATAGGCAGAGAGAGAAGCAGGCTCCATGCACTGGAAGCCCGACGTGGGATTCGATCCCGGGTCTCCAGGATCGCGCCCTGGGCCAAAGGCAGATGCCAAACCGCTGTTCCACCCAGGGATCCCTCTATAGGAATTTGTATACGTGAAAGTAGACTCACAGGATCCTAGGGGTCGGGCTTAGATTGCCTTTTGCCCTTAGAGTATGAACATCGAGGCAGTTGAGTCGTTCAGGACTGTCCCTCTGCCTGTTTCAAGGAGTTGTCAGTGTGCCACCCCGGGCTTGTGCTTTGTCCTCAGCTAGCCCTGTGCTCCCCCATCAAGGCTAGCAGTGCACAGCTGAGCAGCCAGTTCTGCTGACCCTGGACCTGCCCACAGATACCATCACTGTCAGCGCCAGCCCTGCCATGGGCTTCCAGAAGCTGCTGCCACCACAGTCCTTGGCTCATTGTCCCTTCCTTGTATCACTCTTGCACCTACCGTCACATCTCCTACTGACTGATCCTGCACCTTGATCTAACTGGGACTCTTGTCATTGCTTTGGGCCCATCCTGATCACCCAGGATAATCTCCCCATCTCCTGATTCTTAACTTGATTGCATCTTCCTTTTACCATATAAAGTAACAGATTCACAAGTTCCAGGGATTAGGGCATAAAATTTTTTTGGGGGGTGCGGGGGGACAATATTCAGTCCACCACACCTGCTTTTCAGATCTGTCACTTTCCCAGTCTCTCCATCTCTCCATCTCCCTAAGTGGCATCTCTACCCTTTTAGTTCTGGAGCTATTGGCTCAACCTTCAAAACAGACTCCTAATCTGAGCATATCTCACCACTTCCTAGTGCCGAATCCCTGCTCCTGTCTCCAATCATCTCTTGCCTGGACTTCTACAGTTGCCTCTTTGCCAGCCCCCACGCCCACTCTTCACACCTAAGGTCTGTTTTCACCTAACAGGATGATCTTTAAAAAACATAAATCACCCCGATGTTTCTAGCAGCAATGTCCACAATAGTCAAACTGTGGAGGGAGCCTCGGTGTCCATCGAAAGATGAATGGATAAAGAAGATGTGGTCTATGTATACAATGGAATATTCCTCAGCCATTAGAAACGACACATACCATTTGCTTCGACGTGGATGGAACTGGAGGGTATTATGCTGAGTGAAATAAGTCAATCGGAGAAGGACAAACATTATATGGTCTCATTCATTTGGGGAATATAAAAAATAGTGAAAGGGGGGATCCCTGGGTGGTGCAGCGGTTTGGCGCCTGCCTTTGGCCCAGGGCACAATCCTGGAGACCCAGGATCGAATCCCACGTCGGGCTCCCGGTGCATGGAGCCTGCTTCTCCCTCTGCCTATGTCTCTGCGCCCCTCTCTCTCTCTCTCTCTGTGACTATCATAAATAAAAAAAACAAAAAAACAAAAAAAAAACAACTAAAACTTATAAAAAAATAGTGAAAGGGAATAAAGGGGAAAGGAGAGAAAATAAGTGGGAAATAGAGAGGGAGACAGAACATGAGAGACTCCTAACTCTGGGAAATAAACAAGGGGTGATGGAAAGGGAGGTGGGCGGGGGGTTGGGGTGACTGGGTGACGGGCACTGAGGGGGGCACTTGATGGGATGAGCACTGGGTGTTATGCTATATGTTGGCAAATTGAACTCCAATAAAAAGAAATTTTTTTAAAAAGAAAAAAAGCATAAATCGGGGCGTCTGGGTGGCTCAAATGGTTAATCATATGACTCTTGATTTTGGCTCAGGTCATAGTTTCAGGGTTGTGGAATCAAGCCCCATGTTGAGCCCTGTGCTCAGCTCAGAACCTGCTTATCCCTCTCCCTCTGCTCCTCACCTCACTCACTCCCTCTCTATCCCTAAAAATTTTTAAATCTTTAAAAAAATTTTTTTAAAGCAAAAAACATAAGTCAGATCATGATATGTCCCTGAGAATACAAACACAGTCAGCTTCCTGCCCACCTCTCTAACCTGGTCTTCTACTTCTGTCAGCTGGTTCCCCACCCCTGGGCCTTTGCACTGGCTGTTACCTGTCTGCCAGGAACAGCTTTCCCCCAGATCGTTGAACAGCTGTTTCCTTCTCATCCTTCACCTCCACTTAAATATCACCTCTTCAGAGGGACCTTTGCCAATGCCCTTACCCGCTAATCACTGCCTATTATACTGCTTGTTCTTTTTTTTTAATTGTTTGTTTTTATGATAGTCACAGAGAGAAAGAGAGAGAGAGAGAGAGAGAGAGAGATGCAGAGACATAGGCAGAGGGAGAAGCAGGCTCCACGCACCGGGAGCCCGACGTGGGACTCCATCCCGGGTCTCCAGGATCGCGCCCTGGGCCAAAGGCAGGCGCCAAACCGCTGCGCCACCCAGGGATCCCCTATACTGCTTGTTCTTATTTGCTTATCAAACGTTATCTGAATTATCTTGCTTACTCATTTGTTTCTTGTCTATCCTCTCCCAGCCTGGAATGTTAGCTCTCGGAAGATTAGGGCTTGGTCTGTCTTGTTCACCATAGTAACCTCAGCAAAACAGTGTAAAGCCACGTGGTAGGTGCTCAGTAAATCTCTGCGAACGAACGAACGAAAGAGTGAATGAATGAAAATTCCATCCACAAGACTTCACATTAAATCTTCACGCTGAAAGAGAGCGCTGAACTCCAAAATGAAATCGCAAACACATCACAATACTTTGAGATCTCACCTCTCTTACCCTAAAGTCTAGTCTCACCACCCAACAGACCTTTTTCTTCCCTGATCCCTGGCATCAAGAATGACTCGGTCAGTCTCCTAGTCACTACAGAGTAGCCTTATGATAAAAGCTGGAGCAAGAGGCAAGCTCAGGGGGGCTGTGAGTACAGTCGGAGGGAGGGTATCTAACAGGAGGGACTGACCCTCTCTCCCAGGGAAAGGCTGCAGAGTCTCACTTAATGCCCTTGTAAACGGTGCTCAGAGCAATCCCTAAACCAGTTAAGTAAAAAGTGCCCGGGTGCCTTTAAGAGGAGAGTTAGGAAATAAGAGGGGGCGTGGCCATAGGAAAAGAAGTCTCCGGCTGAACCCAGTGGGTGGACTAAGAAAAACTGATCCCTTCCGGTTACGTAATCCCAGCAAGATGGCGGCGCCCAGGGCGGTAAGTGACCGGAGCTCCTAGAGCCCCGAGATTGAGGTCCGCTGTGATGCCTTCGCCGTCAGGGCTTCTGTCAACACCCAGGGAGCGGGCAAGAGAGTAGGAGGCCTCTCCTACTAAGGGTCGCCCTGGAAGCACAGACACGCGGCCTTCGGGAGCCGGGAACGACCGACCTGAGCGAGCCGCTGACAGCCGGGGCTCTTTAGGGAGGAAGCGGGGCGGGCACTTGGCGGAGACAAGCCAATGGGGGAGCAGGGAGCACGTTCCGAAGCTGGCGCACCCAGCCAATCAGAGGGGCGCTGGGAGTCGGACGGGCGCGAGTGGGACCCGCTGAGGAAGAGGTGGCGGTGGGTTTGGTGGAGAAGCTGGGGCTCGAGGGCCTAGGGTAGGCGGCCGAAGGGTACGGGTGAGGGGAGCTCATGGGAGAGGTAGGGATTTCTATGGAAAACCCAAGGGATGATGATGGAGGTGAGGGACAGGTGCCAAAAGGTGAATTTGGGAATTCCGAAGGAAAGACCTGGGGGAAATTAAGGGGAGAATTTGTGATATTCGTGGAGAGAATTTAGGAAGAAAGACGAGTAAAATCAAGGAATGGATTTAGGGAAAAGTAAAGTGAGAGGTTGGAGACGTAGGAATTTAAGGGAAAATAAGGATTTGGGCAAATTACCGAGAAAATGTGGGTGAAGCAAAAAAGAAATTGGAGCACGCTAAGACTGGAGGGAGATTGAAGGAAGAGTTCGGCGGCTTTAAGAGGTAAGTTAGAGGGGCAGCCCCGGTGGCTCAGCGGTTCAGCGCCGCCTCCAGCCAGGGCCTGATCCTGGAGACCGGGGATCGAGTCCCGAGTGCCACGTCGGGCTCCTGCATGGAGCCTGTGTCTGCCTCTGTGTGTGTGTGTGTGTGAGAGAGAGAGAGATGAATAAATAAATAAAATCTTAAAAAAAAAAAGAGGTAAGGGTGGTTTGGAGAGAAATTAAGATAATATTTTTGGGAAAGAAGTGGGTTATTCAGGAAGACTCCAGGGAAAATTGGATAAAATAAGGGGGTATTTTGTGGGAAATTAAGAGGTCAGATAATGAGGACCTGAAACAAAAATAAGAGTTTGGGGAAAAGATGAGGGGAGAATTGGGAAGACCCAGAATGTTTGGCCAAATCAAAAAAGAATTTAGTGTTAAGGGGAGGGACTTGGGGGAAACATGGGGAAATTTGGAGGATCTCAAAAGCAGAATTTGGAAGTTCTGAAAGGAGAATTTGGTGAGCTAGGAAGAAGCAGTGGGGATGGGAGCGTGCAGCGGGGTGAGGTTCATGGACCAAGAACAGGGGGATCTGCTCTGACTCTCACAGGAGGCTCCAGGCTCAGCCTGTCCTTTCCCGTCCTCCCCAGCCTCTGCACCTTGTGGCGCCACTATGGAACACGGGTACCAGGGGCATCCGAGGCCTGAGCAGGGTGGCGGCCCCAGAGGGCAATCAGAAGAAGGGGAGGTCGCTGCTGCAGTTCCTGGCTGACCGCTTCTACGATGTGCAGGCTCTCAGGGAGTACCTGCTCCGAAAGCAGGCGTGGAAGATGCACCAGAAAAATCGGTGAGAACCCTTGATGGACAAGACCCTGCTGCTGGGGCCTTACCAGGCAGAACTCAGATCTAGGCCCAAGGGCTGCAGCTCATATAGGGGCCCCGCTGCCCACCATCTCCTGGAGGTCTCACTGACACCTCAAACCTAACATGACTAATGGCAAACCCTTGATTTCCCCCTAAGAAAGTCAGCCCACCCCCAAGCCTTCCCCATCCCAGGAAGCAGCAGCACTATTCCCAAGGTATTCAGGCCAAATTCTAAGGCGTCTTCCCTGATTCTTCTTGCTTCTCTGTCTTCCACACCCGGAAGTATTCCACACTGATACAATACCAGGCGGTCCCAGATGGCCTAGCTGTTAACCTCCTCGCTGTTGGTAGCCTGGTCTGAGCCCCTTTGTTTTATGGTTGGTTGAGGGCAGTAATCTCCTGAATGGGTCACCTTTTGCCCCCTCCGGTCTGGTATGGTCTATAAATCATCCGAAGGACTCAAGAAACTAACATAGAAAGCACCACTTTGCTTAAAACCCTCAACTGGTTTCCTGTTGCAACTAGAATCAAAATCAGACTCCAAGGCCTAAGATCTGGGCGTGGAGACCCCTAGCGGGGACTCCCCTTACCCCCACCAGCATGGGGACCTTACTGCTGTTTGTTCCGCCATTCTGATTTGAGCCGCCATTCTGATTTGAGCCTCGGAGCCTTTGCACTAGCTGTTGCCTCGACCTTTGAATTTCTTCGCACCACTCAAATCTCTGCTGGAGCGCCACCTCCTGCAAGAAGTTATCTCTTAACACCCAAACTAAAGTAGCCTTCTCCATCCCCACCCCCGCCCAGGCTACTCCCGAGTCAGTCCCTCTGTGTTACCTTCATCACGGAACTGATTCTGCGGTTTGCTCTTAACTTCTGGGTTGTTATCCGTTTCCTTCTGCCAGTTAGCCTCAGGATAGGGACCACTATCTTTTGGGTGCCCGGCACTTTTAATAGATGCTCAGTAAATGTTTGCGGCCTGGCTCAGTGCTGGTGTTGTGGACGCTGACCCACGCAGCATCGGAGTGTGACGATGGGGTGCCGTGGTTCCCCCAGCCTCACCCTCAGTCACTTTTCTCTCCACAGGCCCTTCACCTACATCAAAGAGCGGTACGGTCCTTACGCCGCGGGTGCCTATTTCATCCTGAAGCTGGGAGGCGCTGTCAAGTATGAGGGCAAAAGCGTCTGGGGCGGGTTGGGGAGGCGGAGCCCCAAGCCTGAGGCTAATCGGACTTCCACGGGAGGGAGCTCGGGTCTGCCCCCTGCTGGGCCTTGTCCCTTGGCTTCTGCGGTGGTATCAGACCTGCAGGGTTTGCTGCAAAGATTCAAAGGTATTTTGCAATAGAAGCGCTAGGAAATATCAGAAAGGGAGACAGAAAATGAAAGACTCCTAACTCTGGGAAACGAACTAGGGGTGGTGGAAGGGGTGGGGGTGACTGGGTGACGGGCACTGAGGTGGGCACTTGACGGGATGAGCACTGGGTGTTATTCTATATGTTGGCAAATTGAACACCAATAAAAAATAAATTTATAATAAATAAATTCATTGGATGATTAAAGGAAAACTAAAGATGAGAAGGACTAAGTAGGAGTCAAAAACAAAAACAAAAACAAAAAAAACGCTGGGAACAGGCCTGACACAGCACACAAACTCAGTAAATGTCCGTGTTCCTTTTCTTTCCTTTCTCCTCCTTCCTCCCCACTTTGGCTTTTCTCCCCTTTTTCTGAAAAAGTAGCTTGTGCACCTGCCCCTCACTTGGCTCCAATTAAAATATTCCTTTGGCAGATGCCTGCGTGGCTCAGCAGTTGGGCATCTGCCTTCGGCTCAGAGTGTGATCCCGGGATCTGGGGTCGAGTCCCACATCAGGCTCCCGCGTGGGGCCTGCCCCCCCCCCCCCGTATGTGTCTCTCATGAATAAATAAATCTTTAAAAAAAAAGATAAAATATGGGGATCAGAGGAGTGCCAACTCTTGACCTCAGCTCACATGTCAATCTCAGGGTGGTGAGTTCCAGCCCCGCATTGGGCTCCATGCTGAGTGTGGAGCCTACTTTAAAGAAATTTTTTTAAAAAGGCCAACATTCTATCTCTGATGGGAATGTCAGGGGACCTGGGGAGCCCCGAAATATGAAGGCTGAATTGCAGGGTATGACCTGTCACCAGCCAGGGCTGGAGAGCATCCTCAGAAGGCTGGCGGGGGCCGGGGGGGGGGTGGTGCCCTGCTCTCACCCCCTCTGTCCTCTTCCAGGTTTCAGGGCAAGGAGTGGATCCGGTCAAATGCGCGTGGCCACTTCTCTCTTGACTTCTTGAAGCTCCAGACGGTGCCTGTAGAGGCGGTTGATGCCAGCGGCTGTGCCATCAACTACCAAGGCCTGGACAGCCTCTGTGAGTGGGGCGGAAGTGGAGCGCCGTGCATTTGCCCTGGTGTGGTGGGTTCCAGAAAGGCCCTCAGTGCCAACACTTCCCCCGCCCCCACCCCTACAGTGGCCCTAAAGGAGCTCCAGGTCCTCTGGCTGCAGCGCTGCCCCCACGTGGATGACTGGTGTCTCAGCCGCCTCCACCCACTGGCCAACTCGTTGCAGGAGCTCTCGCTGGCCGGTTGTCCCAAAATCTCTGAACGGGGCCTCGCCTGCCTCCACCACCTCCAGTGAGACCTCATCTCAGGCTGGGCCCCAAGCCCAGGACAGTGGGGGGGGGCACCTGACACAGATACTGGAAAGCGGGGAGTGGGCGGCAGTCGGGCAATCCCCATAGCCTGGCCTGGAGCACGCCAGGAGGTCAGCACAGATCAATCGCAGTGAATCGGGTGGGGAGGGAGGAAGCACTCCTGGTTTTTCTTCCTTTTAAATGAAAACCCCGTTGGGAATGGGAGGAGCCAGAGCTTCCAGTTGTAATTAACACAGTGGATGTCCTAGACCTAGCTGTTTCTGGACAATTAAGGACTTTAATTTTAAGGAGCTGGGGGCAGAAGTGGGGGCTGGTGTGCCCCTGCCCCCTCCACCTCCACCACCCCCACCCCCACCAGAGGCCCCTTCCCTTATGCGGGCTTCCCCCTTGCCCCTTCCTTCCTCCTCTCAGGAACTTACGTAAGCTGGACATCTCAGACCTCCCTGCCGTGTCCAACCCAGGCCTCACGCAGATCCTGGTGGAGGAGATGCTGCCTGACTGCAAGGTGGTGGGGGCTGACTGGGCCCAGGGCCTCAAGTTGGGGCAGGAGGAGCAGTAACAGGACATAGCCAGCCCCATCCCTGCCTAGCCCTCAGCTCCTCCCCATCAGGCTGGACGGCAGCGGGCCCATGGAGGAGCTGACAGTTCTGTTACTGTGGCTTCCGGCCAGGTTCACTCCTCTGGGGTTTAGGGTGGCGCCTGGTCAGAGGGGAGAGCGGGAGGCTGGGGTACTAACTCCCCACCTCGGGGGCTCTGGCTGGCTGCACCCTTGGCTGAAGGTCATATCACCTGTCATCCTGTCAGGCAGCTCTTCCTACGTGCTTCTCTCCTGGGCTCCCGCAGCTGCCTCCTGCCTCTCAGGCCTGGGGGAGCTGCACTCCCCCCTGTCCACTACCATGTCAAGAAACCTTCCTCTCTTGTCCAGAGACTCTTCTCAGAGTATCCTTATTTGAATGGAGCACCTGGGTGGCTCAGTTGGTTAAGCACCTGCCTCTTGGCTCAGGTCAGGATCCCGGGATTGAACCCTGCATCCGGCTCCCTGCTCAGCATGCAGCCTGCTTCTGCTTCTCCCTCTGCTGCTCCCCCTGCTTCTGTGTGCACACTCTCTCTCAAATAAAATCTTTTTTTTAAAAGTATCCTGGGATGCCTGGGTGACTCAGTAGTTATGCATCTGCCTTTGGCTCATGTCTGGATCCCAGGGTCCTGAGAACGAGTCCCACATCAGGCTCCCTGCTCAGTGAGGAGCATGCTTCCTCTGCCTATGTCTCTGTCTCTGTGTCTTTCATGAATAAATAAAATCTTTTTTAAAATAAAAAAATAAAGTATCCTTCGTGAACGTGCTATTTCTTGTCCAGACCCTGGCTGAGGTAGGGGCATTACTGGCACATTACTGGGGAGGTTCTTCCCTGTGTGACCTCACCCCGCTCACCACACGCTGCAGCATCCCTGGCCTGTGCTAAGTGCCCAGGGCGCCCCCTACCGCCCACACTGTTCCCGCTTATCCATTTTTTTGTTTGTTTTTACTTACAAATTTATTTTTTTTCATTGGTGTTCAATTTGCCAACATATAGAATAACACCCAGTGCTCATCCCGTCAAGTGCCCACCTCAGTGCCCATCACCCAGTCACCCCCACCCCCTGCCCTGGTTATCCATTTATTGACTCCACTCCAAATTCAGCTTTCTTGTTTGCTCCCTGAAAACAGACTTGGGCTGTTGAAATAATTTTCCTTTGCTAAGTGGCATGATAAGGTTTGTCAGTAGAGGGCACCAGAGGGATTACAGGAGGAAGGCCTTTGCTTTGGTGTTTGCTCTGTGCGTGTCTCCTGGCCTCCCCTCCAGCAGTTTCAGAAAGCAGCGCCAACCCCCACCCTGCCCCACGGAGGCACCTCCCTGGGAAAGACTCTCCACTGCGTCCCAGAACAGTATTTTCAGCAAATGCCAAGGCACCTTAGCCGTGAACCCCCTTATTTCAATTCACTGTTAAAGTCAACAATTCTTTATATTAAACTTTACCTGTTCCAGCTGTGTAGTTTTTCTTTCCTGATTGGATCCACACTGACACAGCATTGGCATCTGGTGCATTCCAGGAGACAGGCTCACAAGGAGGGGATTTTGGGTTGGTTTGGCTCCTGCCTTTGGGGCACAGTGGGAAGTGGGGTGTAGAAATCTGGGGTGCACGTGTGGTGGCACCACAGTCCAGCGCTGGAGGGGAGGAGGGGACACAGATGACACACAAGGTGCCAACTGAAGCACGTGAGCCCTGCAGCTGCGGCACCTGACTACTGTGGCAGTAATGACAACTCTAAAGATAGGCAGGTGCTGGACACATTTTGCGAAGTGCCCTTGAGCACTCACAGACAATGACGGTCTCAGGCCTGTTTGCTCTGCTCAGAGCAGGGGAGAACTTCTATGCCTGGTCCCCAAATTCCTTGTAGCGTGGGGCTGACTGCTGAAAATACTTATTTCAGTTTGCAGGTCACCAAGTGACAACGGTAATCCGCAGTCTCGACAAGTTTCTCATGTGCGAGTGAGGGCACCGACTGGTACACAGAGGGACCCTGAAATCTGGAATGGGGTCATCTGGCTGGGTGCCATGGAAATGGATGATCTCAAACCCCCCAGGCATTCGAGCATCTGTGCCCTCCTCAGTGTCTGAGGAGACCAACAGCCTGCCTGTGCTCCCCTTCTCCGGGCCAATGCCTTGGAACCAGGTGTCTGCTCTTGCTCAGACTCATCACAAGCGACCCGGCTCTCACCAGACCCACAGCCATGCAGGGCCACATTTCAGCAGGCTCTGGGACACAGCCTCCCACCAGGACCCAGAGGGGGCGGCCTCCATACTAGAAGAATTGCAAGATTCGCAAACCTACTGTCAGAAACCTGGGGGTGGGGACACAAGTCTAAGGGTGTTAGACCAGTGAGGGCCAAGTTCATGTCTGGGCACTTACTAGAGGTACGGAGTTCACTAGCTCGTGTAGCTGAGCGACTCTAGAGGCTTTCTCAGGCCGCTGGCTCAAACTTGGACTCAAGCGTGGTCTCCAGTTCCTGAGGTCAGGAGTTGAGCCACTACTGGCATAATCTGGGGGGGGGGGGGGGGCAGAGCTCAGAGAGGCTGAGTGACTCAAGTTGGAGCTGCACTCCCACCCCAAACCGTGTTCCCCAAGAAAGCACCTCTTGAGTCACTCTTGATGATGGACTTTCCCTGTTCCAACTGCTGGTGGTTTTCTCCTCCTGACTGAACCCAGACTAATGCCCATAGCAACCCAAACCCTACCGAGACTCCCAACTACCCCCAGGAGGAGCAGTGTTGGCACCCCTGGGAGAAGTTAGAAGAGCCAGGGCAGCTCGAGGCAGGGGAGGGGGGTGGGTGGGCTTGCCACCTCTCCCAGGCCTAGGGTGGGGGGAGGCTGGGGCCCTGGCTTACTGCCTTTCCACTCTCACTGCCACTCTCACTTCTATTGCATTAACATCCAACACTTCCTCTGCACTCTCTTCCTCCAGCTGCTCCCATGGGCTCCATTACTCAAACTTGGGAGTTGGAAATCAGCTCTGGACAGATAATCAGCAGCTGCTGACAGACAAGGTGCCAAGGATGAGATGATCCGGACAGTCCTCCCAACCCAGGGTGGAACAAAGGGGGTCAGGCCAGGCTCGGTGGGGCCCTTGGTCCCACCCTTAGGCCCAAGGTTCTAGGAGGTCCCAGATAAAGGAGGCCCCGCCTGCCCGCCTCCCCAGACAGCTGCAGCAGCCCCAACAGCAGAGGCCCCCGGAGGGCAGGGATGCAAACACGGGCTAGCACCTTCTCCTGTCCCAGGGGGCCGGATGTGAGCTGTACTGGAGTCACGGTACAGCTGTGGGCGGGGCCAGAGCAAGGATAGGGATGGATCCCCGCCCCACTAGGCAAACACCAGGCACCAAAGGGGGCAGAGGAGGTGCCAGGGTCAGCTCAGCTGGAGTGCCCCATTGCCCCCACCCCACCCTCCAGCTTGGCCCCCCTCCCCTTCCCCTCCCATCGGGGCCCCTCCAGCTCCTCCTCGGCTCTCCATCTGCTGGCGCCCTTCCCAACCCCACCCGGGTCTGTCGCCCACCTGCCTCTGACTTCTCTCTCCTCCCACACAGGGGCATCCAGCTCCGCCTCCCTCCCTACCCTTTCTCCCTACCCTCTTCTTTTCGCCTCCCCCTCCGTCCCTCCTCTCTCTGCCCCCACCTGCCGGGGAGGTTTCCCCCCATCCTGCCTTCCCCACTACCCAGCCTCTCTCTCCTCCCCACCAGCCCCTTCCCCACCCCCACCCGACTCAGGCGGCCACAACACACCCCATCTCTGGCACAGCCGACCCATCCCCTTAGCACATTCACTGCCGCCAGTGCCGCCGCCGCAGCGGCCAGGCGCCAGCCCCCCACCTCCCCGCCCAGCTCTGCCACTTTGGGACTCTGCCTGTCCCTGGGCCATCTCGCTACTGCCCAGCCCAGCTCGGGCCTGGCCCTCAGCCTCACCCTCCCTCAGACTCTCCCAGGCCCCTGGCTCTCCCCACCAGGCCTCGCGGGTCCCCCATCTGTGCCTTGGCCACCCTGCACCTTCCCGCTGTCTCACCAGAAAACCAGCCCCAACACGCCAGAGCCCCAACCCTCAGGTTGGCCTCCTGCCCTCCCCCATCCCTCTCCTCCCTTCCCTTCTCCTCTCCTCCCCTCCGTCGCCCCGCCCCGGCCCCTCCCGGCCCCTGGGGCCCAGGCGGCCTCCCTCCCCGCCCCTCCGGACTGGCTGGGCTGGGCTCCGACTACAGCACCGCTGCACAGCAGGGGCAGAAGGGAGGGAGCGAGGGAGGGCCTGACCAGAGGGCCCGGACGCGGCGCGGGCGGGAGCTGTACCCAGAGGTAAAGAGGAGGGAGCAGGTCCCCGGCCCCCCTTTCCCTGGGGTGGGGATTGTTGGAACGAGGGAGGCTGGGTTTCTAGAAGGTGAAAGAGCTGACCCTGTGATTCTGATTCCCGGTGAGGGAACGAAGAGGGGCTAGAATGGCCCAGTCCCCAGTCCCTGGGGCAGGGTTGCGGAATAGGTAGGTGGAAGGGGCTGGGCTGGGCTGGGCTGAAAGAGCAGGGTGTCGAAAGAACTGGAACTAGGTTCTGAGGTCCAGGAATAGGGAAGAGCCAGGTCCTGGGCGGGGGCGGGTTTAGGGGCTGAGGCTAAGAGAAATGGTTACAGGGGGCTGGTTACAGGGGGCTGGACGAGCCTGCTGCCCATTCCTGCACCCCAAAGGCCTCTGTGGCTTCTCCGCAGCTCCCGCGGCCACCCCTTCCAGGCTCTGGGTCATGCGCTGCCCTAAGTGCCTTCTCTGCCTGTCAGCGCTGCTCACGCTCCTGGGCCTCAAGGTGTACATCGAGTGGACATCCGAGTCTCGGCTAAGCAAGGCCTACTGGGGACCCCGGGGTACGGCACCAGGCCCCACGCCAGCCAGCCCCGAGCCCACCTTGCCAGCTAACCTCTCTGCCCGACTGGGCCAGACTGGCCCACTGCTCTCTGCTTACTGGAACCAGCAGCAGTGGCAGCTGGGGTCCCTGCCCAGGGGGGACAGCGCTGAGCCAGGGGGCTGCCGGGCTTGGGGGGCTGCCGCTGCTGCCCAAATCCCAGACTTTGCCTCCTACCCCACGGACCTCCAGCGCTTCCTGCTGTCAGCAGCCTGCCGGAGCTTCCCACAGTGGCGGCCAGGGAGTGGCAGAGGCCAAGTGGCCAGCTGCTCGGGTACCAACGTCCCCTACCTGCTGCTGGCTGTCAAGTCGGAACCAGGGCACTTTGAGGAGCGGCAGGCTGTAAGGGAGACGTGGGGGAGTCCGGCGCCTGGAGTCCGGCTGCTCTTCCTGTTGGGGTCGCCAGAGGGTGAAGGGGGGCCTGACCTGAGCTCCCTGGTGACCTGGGAGAGCCACCGCTACAGTGACCTGCTGCTCTGGGACTTTCTTGACGTCCCCTTCAATCAGACGCTCAAAGACTTGCTGCTGCTGGCGTGGCTGGGCCGCCACTGCCCGGGCGTGAGCTTCATCCTGCAAGCTCGGGATGATGCCTTCGTACACACACCTGCCCTTCTGGACCACCTGCAGGCCCTTCCACCCAGCTGGGCCCGAGGCCTCTACCTTGGTGAGGTGTTTACCCAAGCCAAACCCTTCCGGAAGCCTGGAGGACCCTTCTACGTGCCTAAATCTTTCTTTAAAGGTGGCTACCCAGCCTATGCAAGCGGAGGGGGCTATGTCATTGCTGGGCGCCTGGCACCCTGGCTGCTACAGGCAGCGGCCCGTGTGGCCCCCTTCCCCTTCGACGATGTCTATACTGGGTTGTGCTTCCGTGCCCTGGGCCTGGCACCCAGGGATCACAAAGGCTTCCTCACAGCCTGGCCAGCAGACCGCACTGCTGACCCCTGTACTCTCCGGGACCTGCTGCTGGCGCAGCCCCTCAGCCCCCAGAACAGCATTCGGCTCTGGAAACAGCTGCAGGACCCTAAGCTCCGGTGCTGAGTCTCAGTGGAGCTGGGGAGGGGAGGGTGGGCCTGGCCGGCGCACCTCTGTGCCCATACCTGGCTCAGCTTCTCCCTCTGGGCCTTGGTGTGAGGGAGGAATCCTAGAATCATGACTGCCTGAGCCCTTTCTGGGTCCCCCCAGGCAAGGAGCTGGGCAGCAGAAGGCAACAGATGGTTTCTACTTCTTGTTTTTGAAAAATATGCACCCCCTACCCAGACCTGGAGTCGTCCTTCTGCCTGTGGGGCCCCGGAGGAGCTTACAAAAGTAGAGCTCACCCGCACCTTGACCTTCACACTGGACTCCCTCCTCACACTTACTGAACAGGGCCAGCTCTGATGGCCTCCCAGTTACGTTGCTGAACAGCTGCTTGTTCCACCTAAGGGAGACCAGGAGACCATCTCGGGAGGGCCCCCACCCCCACCCAGTCTGCTGAACCGGACTCTCCAGCTTGCTGAAGTTTCCGGGGGAAGTACACCTCTCAACAGCCTGGCCTCCTTTATGTAGAAGGGGGAAACAAGGGGTGGTCCCCAACCAGTCGTGCTAGGCTCTCCTCCCACCTCCCAATCTCCAGGAAACAGACCAGCAGGGGGTACAGAGCCAAATACAGAATTTATTGGCCACCTGCTGACCACCTCTCACTTTGAGGAGTGACTTCCACAGGCTGACCCACCACGCCCACCCCAGAGGGGCTTCCAGTCTTGGAGGCACCCTGGCCCAGCCCCTGGGAGAAGGCACTGTAACAGGCAAAGAGGGGCCACTGGAGCGCCCCCAGGTGGAGGAGTGGGGATGGGGGACTGGAGCCCTGGCTCCAGTATTTTGGAGGGAGCTGGCCCTGGAAGGAGGGTAGCATCTTGCCACTCCCTGGGTCCCCCAGAGTGGGGCTGCCCCTTGGGGTAGTTGAGGTGGGGGATGAGTGGGCCTCACTTCTCAAAGTGGTCCAGGGGGTAGTGCTCCCCGTAGGTCTGGAGGTGCCTGGCCAGGGCCTCCTGCTGCTTGCGTAGCTGTGTGGGCATCTCCTGGTACACGTCTGAGAAGAGCAAGTTGGGGTTGGGCTTCGGCTTTCGCTCCGCCTGCTCAAAGGCCTCCATCACCTGGGGGATGGAGGATAGTAGACATGCAGCCTGTGGGATATCAGCGCTTGGGAGGGGTTCCCCCTCAGCGCCTGGGTTCCCATATAAACAGAGATGAGGATCTGGCAGTGGTGAGAACTAACAACCCCGTCAACTCCCCCCAAAGTTGGCCTCTCCTATCCTGCACCACTGGGCACTGCCCTAAATGCAAGAATTGGTTCAGCCTCTCAGCAGAACTAGGCAGCAGGCAGTTTAGAGGCAAGGAATCCAAGGCACAGAGGGGACGTGCCTCAGTGATGTCCTCGGGGCCCAAGCCAGGGTGGTCCTAACCACTGGGCACAGTGCCCCGGCTCCCTAGGCCATCGAGGGCCGTGCGTGGACCCGGGTGGGACACTCACACTGCACCTAACGAGGTCACCTAATCCTCACTTAACCTCTAACAATGGTCCTCCATGTCCCTGCTCAGATATGAGGGCGTGGAGGGCAAGCATCGTGCCAAGGACACAAATAGAACTGGCAGAGAAACATAGGCAGCCCACCGTAGCAGACCACACTTAGGGGCATCACTGGGCTATGCCTCGGCCTCCCAGTAACGTGTCCCCCAGTCCTTCCAGGATTCTCCGCCATTTCCCACCACAGAACACGTCCCCTGAGGCATGGGTTTCCAACAGAAGGAGGTCCCCACCTTCTTGCGGGACTGCTTCCTCCAGGCCTTCTCCTGCTCGTCATCCCACCAGCCCCGACTCTGCAGGTAGTGGCGCAGCCGGGAGATGGGGTGGTCCTGCTTGTCCCAGTAATTGACCTCGTCCACTGACCGGTAGGCTGAGCTATCGTCACTAGTGCTATGGTGACCGATCCTGCCAGTGGACAGGGCCAGGTTCAGGTTGAAGCCCCCCGTTGTGGGTCAGGACTGGGGTGGCAGGGGTGGAAGAGAGGAGAAGGAATGGCAATAGAATAAAGGCAACAAAGGTGATCCAACACAGGTGATGGGGTCATGTTCTGGGGACAGTGACCAATGCAGGGGAGATGGTGTCAAGACTGCAGGGGAAGAGGGGGGAGGCAGGCACCTGTAGGTCATGGCCTCGATGAGGAAGGGCTGGTTCTCTGCCACGGCCCGCCGCCGGGCCTCCTTGGTGGCATTGTACACAGCGAACACGTCGTTGCCGTCCACACGGATGGACATGATGCCATAGCCCGGGCCTCGGGCAGCTGTGGGGACAGAGAGGCAGGTTGGACCCCGGGACTCAGATGAGGACAATGAGCAGAGAGCAGGGAGAGGGAAGGAAAGGGGAGCAAGCAAAGCAGCATTCCCATGACCTTCCTTGTTCCAAACACCAGGAGGAAAAGGCCCAGGGGGTGGGAGGGAGGGCATGCAGGCAGACTGGGGAGCAGCCTGCTGGGCCCCTACCAATGCCGTCCCCGCGGTACTGCTCCGAGGTGGGCGTGGAGATGGCATAGCCGTTGTTCCGGCAGAAGAAGATGATGGGGCACTCGAGAGTGGCGGCGAAGTTGAAGCCGGCATGTGCATCCCCCTCGCTGGCCGCCCCCTCCCCAAAGTAGCAGATGACCACCCTGTTGGCGTTGGCCCGCTTGGCCGCGTAGGCTGCCCCCACCGCTGTAGGGAGAGAAGGGGGTGAGCAGGAGCAGAGCCACATGCTCTCCCCACCCCACCCAGCTCTGACCTCTCGCCCAACCCCACAACCTGCCTCAACCCTACTCTTGCCTCTCAGCGGACGGCCGCTGCCCTCTCCAGCTCCACAGGCTCCTCTGACTCCGGGCTGTGCCACCCCCCACACCTCTTCCACCTTCACAACCTGGCTAGAATCTGACCCCAGCCCTCTGCCTCTTTCAAGGCAATCTACTCCACCAGTCACCTCTGGCCTGAGTTCCCAGGCCTGAGGAGGCCTGAGCCTCCTCACTGGCCTCCCCACCCCCACCCCATTACCCTAGGATGGCAGATGGCCAGACGCAAGTTAAAAATGGCCAAAGTGTGAACCAGGCTGACATTCCACCCGAGGGGCTCTCTTTCCTAAGGCTCCCATTCCACTCCAGGCAAAGGTCAAAGGTCCAGTTTCCCCTGTATCTGAACTCTTCCTGAACCTCTAAGCCCATCCTGCCACCACCCCCCACCCCTTGCCCCCAGTTCTGCAGGCTCCTCCTGCCCCTCAAGCAAGCACTTGCTTCAAGACCCCACGTGGCTTCCTCCCCAGCTCCTCTTGGTCTGTACTGAAATGTCACCTGTGGTGTGACCCCCACCTTCCTCCATGCCACACACAGGACTCCCTCTCAGCTTTGTTTCTCCCTGCAGGACTTCTCAGCCCTGATCTGCTCCCAGCGCCCCTCCTGCATGCTTACTTCTGGTCTCCCCCACATGGAGGAGGGCTGAGATGTTGTCTGTCTCTTGTTCACTGAGCCTCACATGATGCCTACAAATAGGGACTCCATATATATTGGCCCACTAAGCAGCTTAATGATCACTCAAACGGAAGGTAAGGGCCAGGGCCCAGCCTCCTGAAAATCCTACCTACCTTCAAGGAATGTGCCACATCCCCTCACAAAGTCGTCCTACCTGCCTCCCACCTCAGAGGTGCAAACAGCTCCTCATTCCCAGAGCACTATGAACTGACAGGTAAGGTTGGGCTTTCCAAGCAGCCCACTGCTGAGCCCCAGGGACACACCAATGCGTGATTCTTGGTCACTGTGGGGCGGAGCCCAGCCCAACCCTGGACCCCTCAACCAACCGGATGGCAGGATCCAGAGGGCAGGGACCAAGGTCAGGCTCCAGGGTCTCCAAGCCGTGTGGATGCAAGCCTCTCCCCTGTGGGGTCAACTTCCCAAGCTGTCACTTTTGAGGAAAAGACTAGCTGTTCTAGGTATTGTGGACTTCCAGAGTAAGCTTCGGGGGTAGTCAAACTCCAAGGACTGAGGCAGAGCAGGGTCAGGGGCAAGACCCCAGCTCTGGAGCCACAGCCACACCTGAGTCCCTGCTCCTCACTGCCTGCCGGGCAACCCTTGGCAAGGAAGTTGGTATCCGCTCAGTCATGCGCAGCTGCTGTGCCGGTGAGGGTGAGCGGATGAATGAACGGGATGGGATACAGTCTAGGACACCAGGGCCCTCCTGAAGGGGCTCCCAGATGAACGGTGTCTGTAAAGCCTGGAACCGGACCAGCGTTCTGACCCCCACAAGGGATGCAAAGGGGCCGAGTCCTCACCCTGTGGGATCTGCGTGGCCAATGGAGAGGAGATGGTGACGAAGTGGCGATCCTTGCAGCCGTAGTGCACGGGCATCTGGCGCCCCTTGCTCGGGTCGCTGACGTTACCGTAGCACTGGGCCATGAACAGCTCCAGGGGATAGTCTCTGTACATGAGCACACCTGGGGGGAGGGGGGAGGCAGCTGTGTGAGCCTGCGGGGAGGCAGGGGGGCGGGGGGGTGGGAATGGGGGTGTCCCAGGGCACACTCCTTTCTGTCCAGGCTCTGGCTCCCTGTCCTCCCTGGTGGTACCGGAAAGGAACTGGCCTCAACCTACAGGGGAGATTCAGATGGTTGTGGCAACCAGGCAGGGGGGCAGACTAGAAAGCATAGGCCTGTCCCCAAAGGGAGGTCAGTGTTCCAGCCACCTGACAGCTGCTCAGGGACGCTGGGTGGCCCAGGTCTTCAAAAGAAGGCAAAATGTGGCTTATAGTTTTTGTTTTTTTTTTAATGAGAAACTACCTGATGTTTCTGTTTCAACTAATAAAATTACTTCAGAAGTCATTCTCTTAACCAAACAAAACTACGGGCTGCTGGCGCACAACTTCTGAACCAGAGAGACAACATTTGAATCTGCTTATGATGGTAAAATCCTTCCTTCAAACAAACCCTCACCACCAAACGGAACTGCTCTGGGTGTAGGGGGTCTTGCCTGCTAAGTCAGAGGACAGGAGTTGGTTGAGATGGTCCTGGGATGAGCAATGACCCACTATGGCCCACCTGAAAAGGGAGGGGATCGTCACACCTGCACCTGAGGGGCCAGGCTGGGGTTCCAGGACACCTGTAGAAACACCCAGAACCTGAGCATTACAGAGCAGCTGGCTGGCGCAGGCATTTCCAAATCTTTTCCTTTACTAAAGGAACTCTTTCTTCACATGATGACATAATGGGGGTCACATTCTGGAGGAGTCACATTCTGTGCAGGCTATGCACATCTTCCCTGAATAACTACAATATGAGGGATGCCTGGGTGGCTCAGTGGTTGAGCATTTGCCTTCGGCTCAGGTCCTGATCCCGGGGTCCTGAGATCAAGTCCTGCACCGGGCTCCCTGCGGGGAGCCTACTTCTCCCTATGCCTGTGTCTATGGCTCTATGTGTCTCTCATGAATAAATAAAATCTTGAAAAAAAAATTAACCACAATATGAGAATAATGTTTTGTGACAGGCACCTTCATCCCAAGCACTTTCCAGAGGTTAACTTGATTAACAACAACCCCCCGAGGGTGGTGAGATTATTCTCATTTACAGATGAGGAAACTGAGGTAGGAGAGCTCCCATAACCAGCTCGAGGTCACACCG